GGCAGACGGTACAATCGAGAAATTCAAAGCACGCTGGGTCGTGCGTGGATTCGACCAGGAGCATGGACGGGACTTCACCGAGACATTCGCCCCGGTCAGCCGACATACCTCACTCCGAATTCTTCTCGCGATCGCCGCTATGAAGAAGAAGAAACTGCGACAAATCGATGTCGCCAACGCGTTCCTCTACGCACCCGTCCACGCCGAAATCTTCGTCGAGCTCCCACACGGTACCCACGGGGAACCTAACCAAGTTTGCCAGCTACTGAAATCGCTCTACGGTATCAAACAAGCCCCGCGGCTGTGGCAACAGCACCTACACACTCGCCTCACTCGCATCGGATTCCGCCAACTACCTCACGACCAAGGAATGTATCGACTCACCAAAAACGCCGACTATATCCTGCTGATCGTCTACGTCGACGACCTACTCTACATTGGCTCCACCGACGACGTCACCACCTGGTTCGAAGGGGAGCTGCAGAGGGATCTTACACTCACGGTCTCCTCTACCGTCACTCAGTACCTCGGACTCAACATCCGCGAAGAAGAGAACGCGATCTATCTCTGCGCCGAAAAGTATGCCGACACTATCGCCAAACGCTTCTCGCTCACACCTACCACTATCTCCACGCCATACGGCTACACGGCAGGGAACGACAAAGGAGGTCCCGCTCTACTCAAAACCGCCGGAATACGCGACTACCAGAGGAAGCTGGGCTGCCTTCTCTTCGCAGCCGTCACCTGCCGCCCAGATCTGTCCTACTCCACAAGTCAACTTGCTACCTATCTCAAAAGGCCCGAAACAGAACACCTGGCGGAACTCGACCGCGCTCTCCACTACTTCGTGAGCACCTCGACGATCGGCCTGACATACAACAAGAGTAAAACTACACCGACGAAACTAATCGGCTACGTCGATGCCGATCACGCCGGCGATTCAGACAACAGACGCTCCCGCACTGGCTACATCTACCGCCTCGAACCTATCGGACCTATCTCCTGGCAATCGAGCAAGTAGGAACTAATCGCTCTCTCCTCAGCTGAAGCAGAATATATCGCACTCTGCTCAGCCACCAAGGAAGGACTCTATCTTCGCGAGCTGCTGGAAGAAGCGAAGTTAGCCGAGTTACCCAACTTCACTCTGTTCTGCGACAACCAATCTGCGATTCGCATCGCCAACAAGAGCGGATTCGCGAACCGAACGAAGCATATCGCCCTGCGATATTTCTTCGTGAAAGACGAGATCGAGAAAGGGAAACTCAAACTATCCTACTGTCCCACGTCTGAGATGGCAGCTGACTACTTGACCAAGAAGCTCGGAAAACAGAAGTTCGAGTACTGCATGCTGCTGACTGGACAAATCCACGTCACCATCAACGACACTCCAGAAGCGAAGGGGAGTGTTGGGAACAAATAGTCTTAAGCGCCTCTGTCGTGTCGAAACTCAAGACACAAGCGAAGCAGCTCAAATCGAAGCAACGCGAGTCAACCCTCGGAGGTTAACGTAACCGCTGGAGGTTACGAGAAAGTCAAAGGTCAGCGACCTTTGACCTGACGCAGCGCGACAGCAAGGACACACAACTGACTCGACATTGAGCAGTTGCCCGAGTCGCACTGTATCGAACCGCAACAGTAAAACAGTTACAATTATGTCTCTTCATATTCTCTGAACTCATATATATATTCCTGTATCTCTTTGCTTTAATTAACTTACTTTGCCCTCACATACTAGCGCAAGGTGGTTCAAGGACTTTATTCAAACGCTTCCGCTACTACATCATTTACTCAGACTTTAACTCTACTAAAGATCCTAGGGCGTTCAGCCCAACATCTTGGAGCGAACACAGCCATGACTTCACGAAACAGCCAGTCAGGTGTGATCAATTTGGCATAAGGCAAGGCTGATCACAGAGCTGATCCTCTGCAATGCATCACAATCTCAAAATCTTGTCCACTACAGAAGATCAGGCCTCAGGCTCCCATGCTGTTACCATTGCACATTCTAAACCACACCATGTTGGATCGCTGCAGTAGACGCAGAGCCGTGTCACACCTCTCCTCCCACCGCCCAGCATTCACCCCCCGATCACACTGATCAGCCTTTTCATCCCCATGAGCCTCAAGGGCTTCTCTAAGCTCTAAATAAGCCTGCACCACGAAAGCCATGCCACCAGCACACGGACCTTCCTCACCCCCAGCCATCCCTCCTCCACCTGCCCCTCCTCCCCCTGCCTTGTCAGCGCACACCCGAGCCTCTGCAAGATCGCCCTTCGTCGCATGGAGAGCAGCCAGGTTCACATACACGCTCTCCCTCCACTCCATCCATTTCGCCCCCCTGCCTGCTGCTGCTGCTCCTGCTGCTGCTGCACCCGCTGCTCCTCCTCCTCCCGCCCCTATGGCAGCTGCGGGAGGGGAAGCTTCCAGGAACTCGACAAGGCACTCGGATAGAAGACTCAGGGCATCACCAGGGCGGCCCAGAAGACAAAGAGCCTCTGCTGTGTACATGCGGAGGGCGCTGCGTTGCCACGGGTCTGAGCTCCTGTCAGGGCTGAGAGGTTTCTGTGAGGCAAGCTGTGAGGTAAGCTGTGAGGTAAGCTGTGTGCGTGGGTCGTTTGCGGCGTGAGGGGGAGGGTTGTTGCGGGTGTTGAGCAGGGAGAGGGCGTGTTGGGCGGTGGCAAGGCAAGCGAGGTGGTTGAGGAGGGAGAGCTCGACCCAGGCCAGCTGGCACAGGGCTGAGAGGAGAAGGCGGCGGTGGGCGGAGGGTAGGAGAGGTGGGGGAGTGAACGGCTTCTGGCTGCTGCCACCGCCGCTGATGGCGCCACTGCTGCTGATGGTGCTGGTGCGGGTGCTGGTGCTACTGATGGTGCTGGCGGTGCTGACGGTGCTGGCGGTGCTGGTATGAGGGGGGTGCGAGAGCAGCAGGTGGATGGCGTTCTTGAGGCACATGCGTGCCAGGGGGAGGGGATCCAGCCCCAGAGAGGACGACAGAGAGAGCGAAAACGGCAGTGGCTGCTTAGAATGGCCGAACCCCGCTCTGTCTGTACTGACCGTTGCGTCACTGGTGGTACCACCGCTGCTGCTGCTGCTGCTACCGGCAGCAGTGCCACCATGGTGCCTAGGAGGAATGGCTGATGCTGCTTCTTGCTTCCCTGAATTGCCGTGAGTGACGCTCGCTCCTGCGTCCCCGCGGACTCGCCTCGCCATGAGATCAGCAAGCTCACTGAGAGCCGTCGATTCACCTGCACCAGCACCGCCCAGAGCCGTCAATTTGACTGCAGGGATTCCACCGCTGGTACTTTCAGCGAGGACCCCTGATTCGATCTTGTGTTGGGATCCATCGTCGCGTGTGCCAGCTGGCAGCAGGACATACTGCCACGTGTCGTCAGTCCTTCCGCCGCTCATCAGAGTCACCGCCATTCTGCTGGGTCCGAGAAAGTCTTGCTGCTTCTGATTATCGCTCCGATGCTGCTGCTTTTGATGATCATCCTGCTTCTGTTTCTGCTTCTGACGGTGCTTCTCCTGCTCCTGCTGCTCTTGATATTCATTCTGCCCCTCCTGCTGTTGCTGGTGGGTGAGAATGCAGCACTCTGACAGTCGAAGCCACAGCAGCGGCCAGTCGCAGAAGACGCGCGAAACCTCCTGGAAGCATCGTGCGGCCTTGACGGGATCGCCGCTGAGCAGCATCTGCAGGCCGAGCTGGTACACCAGCCGCGCCGCGTCGCCGTTGTTCTGTGCAAGCTGTGCTGACGTGTCGCGGCTGCGGATCATTGCGTCCACACCAGCTCCCTTTCTGAGACTGTCGCTATCCATTTCAAGTTGAGCCCGTTATCTTCGTGCGCTAAACCTACAAAACGCGGCTAAGAGCAGTTCAAATTGCAAGTCCAAAGTGGTCGACAGACCAAAGCGCTGATGCACTAGTCCGTGCCGGTTGTTGACTAAGTCCCACGCCTCGTGGAAGGGCTTTTGGCACGCAACCAGCGTTGGGTCTAGAACCGCTTTAGTATTCTCAGCTGCGACAACAGGCGTCTGGGCCCAAACCGGACCAAACCGGACTCTCTTGCCAATGAACTCAGGAGAATCCCGAAACCGCAACTATTTACTAGTTAGTCGACTTTCTTTGGCCCAGACTGCACTCCCTAGGACTCTGCTTCTAGAATCTAAGCGCGATGCAATGCGATTCCTCCCTACGTGCTTGTATAGGCCCCGTTCTAGAACCTAACACAGGTTCATTCGGATTGAAGTTATTTGCTGGCGTGATGTGGATTTGGCTGCTGGAAAGTTGCATACACTTCGCTAAAAATTTCGAGGAACTTTTAGCGCACAGCTGATGGTGCTTTAAGCGAGGATTTCCAGAATTAGCCTGAAATTTTGAGAATGCTTTGTCCCCTACAAATATCGATATTTGTACCATTCCACTTTTATGATCAGTGTTTGCACTGCAAACTGTAGAGCTACGCAGGTCTTCCTATTCCTGATTCGTTATAGCGTAGCCTCCGCTGCAAAGCTGATGGGTGCTGCTATCCCTGCGGTGCGCTGACTTGGCGCCGTTAGTTGTGTGTGGCGGCGGCGTAATTAGGCGAGTAAAGCTCCCAGCCCAGGAACCTACTAGGGGGCTCTTCCTCCTCCTTTACCTCGACTCCTAGCCTAGCCTAGACCCCACCCCACGCCAACAGAACCTCGAAACCGAACCGAACCACATTCAACGCCAGGCGAGCAACCTGATCTGAACCATTCCACTTTTGTGTCCGATTCGAACCACTTCCGTGTCTGATCCGTACCGTATCGTAGTTCTCCCGAAACACCACGGCGTAGTAGAGCAGTAGTTAATCGGCCAGGACAGCTCAGCAGCCAATAGAAGCTCCGCAGGGTTAGCTCTCATGACGCTCGTCGCGCTATGCCGCCGCGCTACGACCAGCATCTGCTGTAACACCGGAACAGTCCCACCCCTACGTGGCTACAATAACGGGGCGTATAATAACGGAGCGGTGTTTTCGCGGATGACTCTTGTCTGTTCCTATAGCAGCGGACTTTCTTCCCTCGCTCGAGGCCGAGCCGCGATCGGCTCTAAGCTCCATCATAGTAGCCATAGCCACGTGGCGACTCAATGCCACGTGGCTCGATTATCCATCACTGCCAGCTCCTCTGCCAGCTCAGCAGCGACCGTGTCCACGTCTGCCACGTCAGCAGCCCCCGTGGCGCTAGACCCGTCGTACGGGAGTAAGGAGGTGATTAAAGTCGACACGCGCGTATACCAATACATCCTGGAGCACACCCGAGAACCCGAGGTGACTATAAGCGGCGTGACTTGGTGGTGTGACTAAAAGAGGTGTGGATATAAGAGGTGATTATGGGTTTGGGATGTGTGGGGTGTGTCACAGGCTTCCAGCAACGCTTTTGGAAGAATAGCTTTCCGTTCTTGCCCCATTCACCCTCTGCTGCACTCTCACTCTCCTATTCTCTCCCTCTGTCCCGTCCTCTCGTTACTCTACCCATGCCCAGTAACCGTGCCCACTATCCTCCTGGCCCCCCGCATGCCCCCTCCCTGCCCATATCCCCCTCTTCTTCCCATCTCCTCTTCCCGTGTCTGGCAATTCCTGTCAATTTTATCATGTCTTCTTCCCATCTCTTCTTCCCTCGTCCCCCTGCCTTTCTTTTCTCGTGCAGATTCTTGCCGAGCTGAGGAGGGAAACTGCAACCATGATAGGCAAGGAGATGCAGGTGAGGGGTAAGGTCATGACTTATACCCGCTATAAGCAGGGGATGCTCGTCTATTCGTCATAAGCAGGTGCAGAATGCAGATTCTAGCCGAGCTGAGGAGGGAACCTGCTACCATGATAGGCAAAGAGATGCACGTGAGTTGAGGAACTAGGTTATAATGCATACCTGATATAAACAAGGGGTGGTCGTACCCGTTATAAGAGGGTGCAGAGTGTAGTAGAGTTGAGGAGATAGACGGCTGTTGTCATATGCGACGAGGTGCAGGTGAAGACATGCCTTATACCCGCTTTTATATGCACGTTATAAGCAGATTCAGAACAGGGGTTGTCTCGTTTATGCTTATTGCGGTTAACTGGGCAGGGCATGCATTTTAGAGGAGAACTTGGGGGGAGTGAGGTGAGGGGGGTTGCGGGTGAGAAGGGTGACCTTTCCTCACAACATGGGTGCGATGCGAATTCATGGGAGCAAGGCAGTACTGTCATGCTCCCGTTCACCCATGACCAACCTCACTTTCCCCCTTATCCCGGCCTATCCCGTCCTATCATGCGCTGTCCCATCCCACCCCATCCCATCCCACCGCATCCCATCCCACCGCATCCCATCCCATCCCATCCCATCCCATCCCATCCCATCCCATCCCATCCCATCCCATCCCATCCCACCCCATCCCACCCCTTCCCATCCCATCCCATCCCATCCCATCCCATCCCACCCCATCCCACCCCTTCCCATCCCATCCCATCCCATCCCATCCCATCCCATCCCATCCCATCCCATCCCATCCCATCCCATCCCATCCCATCCCATCCTATCCCATCCCATCCCATCCCATCCCATCCCATCCCATCCCATCCCATCCCATCCCATCCCACCCCATCCCATCCCATCCCATCCCACCCCATCCCATCCCATCCCATCCCATCCCATCCTATCCCATCCCATCCCATCCCATCCCATCCCATCCCATCCCATCCCATCCCATCCCATCCCATCCCATCCCATCCTATCCCATCCCATCCCATCCCATCCCATCCCATCCCATCCCATCCCATCCCATCCCATCCCATCCCATCCCATCCCACCCCATCCCATCCCATCCCATCCCACCCCATCCCACCCCATCCCATCCCATCCCATCCCATCCCACCTGTTCTACCACACCACCACCCCTTCTGCAGGTGTCTCCAGAGCAGGGAGCGTTCTTGGCCATGCTGGTGCGGCTTATGGAAGCAAGGGGCGGGTAGTGTGGCTGTGCGCACACATACGCTGCTTTTGAGTCGACTCAAAGGTAGTGTGGCTGTGCGCACACATACGCTCATGCTCTTGTCTCTCTGCCTGCCTGCCTGCCTGCCACCATCCCTGCAGGTGTCCCCGGAGCAGAGAGCATTCCTGGCAATGCTGGTGCGGCTCACGGGAGCCAGGCGCTGCATTCACCATTCACACACCCTTACTTGCTTGCCTGCCATGCCATGCCACCACTCCACTCCCCTGCAGGTGTCCCCAGAGCAGGGAGCATTCCTGGCCATGCTGGTGCGGCTCATGGGGGCCAGGCGCTGCATTCACCATTCACACACCCTTACTTGCTTGCCTGCCATGCCATGCCACCACTCCACTCCCCTGCAGGTGTCCCCAGAGCAGGGAGCATTCCTGGCCATGCTGGTGCGGCTCATGGGGGCCAGGCGCTGCATTCACCATTCACACACCCTTACTTGCTTGCCTGCCATGCCATGCCACCACTCCACTCCCCTGCAGGTGTCCCCAGAGCAGGGAGCATTCCTGGCCATGCTGGTGCGGCTCATGGGGGCCAGGCGCTGCATTCACCATTCACACACCCTTACTTGCTTGCCTGCCATGCCATGCCACCACTCCACTCCCCTGCAGGTGTCCCCAGAGCAGGGAGCATTCTTGGCCATGCTGGTGCGGCTCATGGGGGCCAGGCGCTGCATTGAGCTGGGCGTGTACACGGTGAGCCTTGCGGCTGTGCGGTGTGCTGCGGTGTGCTGTGGGCGGCGGGCTGGGTATTTTATGCATTGAGTTGGGCGTGTACACGACACGGTGAGGCTTGGGACCACGGCTGCTGTGGTGAGGCTTGGGACCACGGCTGCTGCGGTGAGGCCTGGGACCACGGCTGCTGTGCGCATTGTTGCAGTGTGTTGCTTCCCCCTTCCGCCTCCCCCCTCATCCTTCCGCCTCCCCCCTCATCCTTCCGCCTCCCCCCTCATCCTTCCGCCTTTCCCCACTCCTCCCCTCCCTCTCTCCCTCCCCCTCCCCTTCTCCCTCCTCCATATCGCTCCCCCCTCCTCCCTCTCTCCCTCCCCCATCCCCTTGCCCCGCTCCCTCCCCTCTACCCTTCCCCGCTGCTCCGTGGCTGTCTCTTGCTTATGTCACACTTTGCTTATGTCACACTTTGCTTATGTCTCACTTTGCTTATGTCTCACTGTGGTGGTGCTGTGCGCTGTAACAACTTGACCAGTCCAGCCCTTCTTGCGCCACACCTGTTTGCCCATCGTCCTCCCAACCCAAGGGCCACTCTCCTCCCTCTCGGTGACTTGGACACTTTCTCCTCACGGTCTGCTGGTGGCGTGTGAGCGGGTGCCTCACACGTTTGTCTCATTCCCTCTGTGCCGCACACGCTCGCCCAGACCTCTTGTGTCTCTCGCCCATCCCCCTTGTGTCGCTCGCCCATCCCCCTTCTGTCGCTCGCCCATCCCCCTTGTGTCTCGTCGCTCGCCCATCCCCCTTGTGTCGCTCGCCCATCCCCCTTGTGTCGCTCGCCCATCCCCCTTGTGTCGCTCGCCCATCCCCCTGGTGTGGCACGCCCATCCCCCTTGTGTCGCTCGCCCATCCCCCTGGTGTCGCTCGCCCATCCCCCTTGTGTCTCGTCGCTCGCCCATCCCCCTTGTGTCTCGTCGCTCGCCCATCCCCCTTGTGTCTCGTCGCTCGCCCATCCCCCTGGTGTCTCTTGCCCATCCCCCTGGTGTGGCACGCCAGGGCTACTCGTCCCTCTCGGTCGCGCTGGCATTACCTTCCGACGGCCTGCTGGTGGCGTGTGAGCGGGTGCCTCACACGTTTGCAGTGGCGCAGCGATTCTACGAGAAGGCTGGTGTCAAACACAAGGTGTGACTCTAGCGAGGGCTGCTGTAGTGAGTGAGTGAGTGAGTGGAGCACAGGTGTGCGTTTGTGACTCTAACAAAGGCTGATTCATGATTGATTGTAACAAGACAGGGTGTGACTTGCACAGACTGTGACAATCTAGCAAGACCCTCTTCTTCACCATTCCCCCACTCACTCACGCATTCTGCTCTGTCTACCCCACTCACGCATTCTGCTCCGTCTACCCCACTCACGCATTCTGCTCTGTCTACCCCACTCACGCATTCTGCTCCGTCTACCCCACTCACGCATTCTGCTCTGCAGTACTAAACCCTCTGTTTCGGCCCCCTCCAACCCCCTCTTACTGCTTCAACGCCACGTCTTCCTCTACCACCTCTCAACGCCGCCTGCCCTCGCGTACTCTTCAACCCCCCCTGGCCGTGCTGCAGGACACGTGCTGCAGGACACGTGCTGCAGGACACATGCTGCAGGACACGTGCTGCAGGACACGTGCTGCAGGACACGTGCTGCAGGACACGTGCAGAAGCTGCACCTTCTCCCTTCGCTCCAACACGTGTTGTGTTTGCTTCCCTGCCCCACACGCATCACCCCACATCACCAGGTAGCCCCCCGGCTTTGCCTGGCACAGGAGGACACGCCGCAGCAGCTGCAGCGCCATCTCCCTCTCTTTTCCCTCCTCCTGCTTCTGCATGCCCCTTGCCATTTCGCCTCCCACACCCACGCCACCAGGTAGACGCACGGCTGGGCCTGGCGCAGGACACGCTGCAGCAGCTGCTGGAGGAAGGGCAGGCAGGCAGGTGAGAGCAGAGCCACAGTGGCTTGCGCGTGACCTGTTCACACGCCACAGTGGCTTGCGCATGACCTGCTCACACGCCACAGTGGCTTGCGCGTGACCTGCTCACACGCCACAGTGGGTTGCGCGTGACCTGCTCACACGCCACAGTGGCTTGCGCGTGACCTGCTCACACGCCACAGTGGCTTGCGCGTGACCTGCTCACACGCCACAGCATCCCATCTATCCTCCACGCCCCACCGGGTGGACACGTGGTTAGGCCCGGCACAGGACACGCGGTTAGGCCCGGCACAGGACACGCGGTTAGGCCCGGCACGCGGTTAGGCCCGGCACAGGACACGCTGCAGCAGCTTGAGGAAGGGCAGGGGGGCAGGTGAGACTACAACCACAAGGGAGGTGAGACTGCACCAGTGTGCAGCAGCTGGTGGAACCACAAGGGCGCAAGTTATGGTGTCATGTCAGCATCATAGATCCACCAAGCAACTTCATGCGTTCTTTCATTTCATCAAGTTGTGGAGGTGTTGTGTTGCCAGCAGATCATGTGCCGCCACCTTGTGTCGTCTCCCACCACCTTGTGTCGTCTCCCACCACCTTGTGTCGTCTCCCACCCATGCCCTTTAAGCCGACTCAAACGACACCGTCTCACTCACTTCTCTTCTCCATTCCCTCTTTCCCCGGGTTATCCCAGCTTTGACGTTGTGTTTCTAGATGCGGTAAGCGGATGTACCAAGCAACAAGCGGGTATACTGAGAATACTAAATATTTCTGCTCACCTTTTCACCCACTCCTCCGTTACTAGTCTCCTAGTGTTTCTCCTCCGCACCCATCATTCACGCCCACTCCTCCCTTCCCTCTCTCCTCGGCTCATTGCAGCTTTGACTTTGCGTTCCTGGACGCGGACAAGCGCATGTACCGAGACTACTACGAGCTGCTTCTCACCCTTGTGAGTCGAAGTCTGTTAATAAATTCCATACCTCGCTGTAACGATTGTTAGTTAACTAGAGCCTCAACGCAGTTACTTCAGATGCACGTTCATTCGTTTCTCAAGTGATGGGATCTGTAGCATTCGGTGACTGACACCCATCCGCTCCTTGAACACGCTCTAATGAATGACCATGTAGACACTGGAACATCTTTCCATGCGTGCCTCTATGGGATGTTGACGTGAAAAGTACACTCATTTCACGTGGCTATCTTTCCATGCATGCCTCTATGGGATGTTGCCATGCTGCTATTGACGTCGTTGTCCTGGCTAAGTATTTCGGTGATGCAAACAATCCAATTCACACTGGAGCTGGATAGGCCTCCATGCATGCATGCAAGCCTCTATGAGATCCATGCTGCCATGCTGCTATTGATGTCGTTGACCTGGTTCTGAGGCGCCTCAGAAGTTGTCCCGTCCCGCAAACACCCCAATTCACCATGGAGCTTGATGAATGTGTCTCCATGCATCCATGCATCCATGCATCCATGCATCCATGCATCCATGCATCCATGCATCCATGCATCCATGCATCCATGCATGCCTCTATGGGATCCATGCTGCCATGCTGCTAATGACTGTGTTGAGGTGTCTCTGGATTTTGGTGTTGTTTCAGCCCTCACATGCTGAATGATGCCGATAATCCAAAAATACCACACGGCTTGCTGCGTTTCGAATCCATCATTACTCCGCAAGAGGCTACTATTCCTCACCACAACCCTGCCATCCTCCCCCACACATGCCCGTCCTGCTGCCAGCTGAGGCCAGGGGGTCTCCTGGTGGTTGACAACGTGCTGTGGCATGGTCAGCTGGCTGATCCTCAGGTGAGTTTCCAGGTGATTTCATCAATTCATCTGCTGTGTGAAAGTTCTCTAACTCTGGTGATATCAGGTGAAAAGCCGCCAACATGTCAACGGCACTTGAGCCATGCCCATGCCCATGCCCATGCCCATGCCCATGCCCATGCCCATGCCCATGCCCATGCACATGCCCATGCCCATGCCCACATCCATGGTCAATGGCACTTGAGCCATGCCCATGCCCATGGTCAATGTCACTCTTGCTCCTTCTGCCACCTGGCCTCTTGGGGCATGCCCATTGCTCTCTGCTGCTCCCCTCCTTGCTGTTTGGTGCTCCTGGCATTTAAATGGCATGTCAAGAAAAAGACTGCATATAACGTGGCTCACAGTTGCAGATCTACATGAGGGGTGCATGATGCTTTTTTCCTTTGTGCTGGTGCATTGGTGGAAGTATTCGTTTACCGTGCATCAAACTTGCCCTCTATTGTTTTGCAACTACATTTAATTCTCAGGTTACTGACCGCAAGACGGAATACCTCAGGGCATTCAACAAATTCATTCGTGATGATCCTCGGATCCATCATAGCATTGTAAGTGAAATGGAGTGGAAATTTCGTAGCATTTCCTCTGCTTGCTTGTACCACTTTCTTGTACCATTCTGCATGGTGATTGTCTGTACTTTGTCATATGCCTGATCGACTGCCTTGGTGTTTTAAGTATAATTCCACTCATCTCGCTTCTTGCAACGTGCAGGTGCCTGTTGGAGACGGAGTGGCATTATGCCAAAAATCATAACTCCATTGTGTACACTTTTTTTTTACAAGCTTTAAAAGTGCATTGCACAACTTATCCCGCTAAACCACGAGACATTGTGTACTCGACATAATCCCGTAAACCTCGCCATCCTACCACCCGCCTCATAATATTTTACAACAATTCACGCTTGCATCGTCACCGTTTTTTCCGCCGCCATCCGCGCTGCGCGACACGTCTTGGACGCAGTAGCGGTAAGCTTCTCTCGCCGCAAGTCCCTGAACGTTACTGCTGGGGTCGGCAGCGTGTTTTCTCGCATAGGCCACGCGTAAGGAGGGAGTGGATTGGAAGCCCAGGTAGTGCTTTCCCGTGCTATGCCGGGAGTGTAACCATTTCAGCAGTAACCGCACTCCTGTTTTCGCCATGGGAATCGCCGCGGTGGGGTCGATTGCCGCTACAAGACCGTCCCTTGTCCTGCGATGCCGCAATGCGAGTAGTATACCCGTTAAAAGGCCGTCGCAATCTCTTCTCATTCAACTGCCCACGTGGCGATCATTAGCCTCTCCGCGACCCGAGACATTCGATCCGCCCAACGGACCGCGCAGCCTCTCAGCCAGCCGCGCCCGCCACGAGTTTCGCGACTCACGATTAAGGCTCTTCAAGTTATCACTTACTCCCAACTTACCTCTCTCCCGATTGTCCAATCCAATGCTAAGTAGACTGGTTGCTTCGTCAGGGGTTATGAGTCTCGCGGCGACTGTGCCGTCCACGCAAGAGGCAGAGGTGAGAGCGGAGGCGGTAACCTGTGGAGAAAAAGAGGGAGCTACCGCGGGCGGCGCTGACGGGGAAGACGGAAGTTTCGCGGCGAGGAGAGAAAGGAGTGAGAAAGAGGAGATTGAGGAGAGGGGAAGTGTGGAAGGGACAGTGACAATGGCGGCGTATGATGGACGGGAAGGAGGGGAAGTTAGAGAGGACGCCGAGGGAACAAATGGGGTAGGAGAGGCTGAGGACGGCGATCTGAGGGCCAGGCGCAGGAGCAGACGCGCAGAGAGAAAGGCAAGAAAAGCCCAGTCAACCGAGTCAACGGAGTCAACTCCAAGGGGCATGTCCGAGTGGCGCACGCGCCCGCTCGTCCCGCACGGCGCGTCCCAGTGGCCGCAGATCCAATCCCTGGCCGCCACGTCAGCAGGCGCCAGCCTGTCAATCGACGCGATTTTTGCCGCCCTAGGCCTCCCGCCACTCGCGGACGGCCATCCGCAGCTGCCGGTGCGCGTTCGGCAGCACGTGAACCCCTTAAAGACGTCTCTAATGGCGCCGCCGCCGCCCGTGGACTGGGCGGCAGTGTATGAGGACCCGTCGCTGCCGCTGGTGGTGGACATTGGGTCGGCGAGTGGGCGGCTGGTTTTGGCGCTTGCTGTGAGGGACTGGAGATGGCGCGCGCAGCAACAAGGAAACGAGGGCGAGCAAGGAGAGGAGGGGCAGGAAAAGGAGGAAAGGGAGGAGGGGGGCGGGTCAGATGCTAAGGCGGCATCACCACCATCATCACCGGTACTTTCGTCATCACCAGCCACACTACCATTAGCATCAGCAACTTCGCCACTGCTACTGTCGCCGTCGTTCCTTCCCGCCCCGCCGCTCAACTTCCTTGGGTTCGAAATCCGCGACAAGCTCGTGCAGCGCGCCGACACGTGGCGCCGCCAGCTGGCGCTGCGCAACGCGCACTTTGTCGTCGCCAATGCCACGTCAGCGCTCGAATCCGTGCTGGCGACTTATCCGGGACCACTAGTAGCTGTTTCCATCCTCTGCCCCGACCCGCATTTTAAGAATAAGCACCGGAAGCGGCGGGTGGTGCAGCGGGGTTTGGTGGAGGCGATTGGCCGGGTTTTAGTGCCAGGTGGACATGTTTTTGTGGAGTCTGACGTGGAAGAGGTGGCTGCTGACATGTACCGGCAGTTTGCGGGGCATGGGAGGGGAGGAGGGGAGGGGTATGCTGGGGATGAGAGGGGGAGAGGGAAGAGCGAGGGTGGGGGAGGGGAGAGTGAGAGCGAGGGAGAGGAGAGCTCCACATATATCAAAGGTGTGGCAACGGTGAGATTTGTTCCGAGCGACCTTGTTGCAGCAGGAGGAACGGGTGTGGGGGCGGAAGGAGAGGAAAGTGTGTGGCAGGAGCGGGCAGGTGGGGGGAGCGCAGGGGAGGGGAGCGCAGGGGAGGGGAGCGCAGGGGAAGGGAGCGCAGGAGAGGCAATAAGGTGGCTGGATCACAACCCCTTGGGAATGCCGAGTGAGAGGGAGGTGGTGGTGCTGCTGCAGGGCTCACCCATGTACCGCGCTCTCTTTGTTAAGCAATGAGCTTGCTTTGAGTCGAATGAACAAGGCTTATGAGTCAACTTATTACGGTAGTCATCTTGCTGCTGCAGGGCTCTCCCATGTACCGTGCTCTCTTTGTTAAGCAATGAGCTTGCTTTGAGGCGACTTGACTGAAACTGGCTTCTGTTCTGTCGACTCAACAGTCATCTTGCTGCTGCAGGGCTCACCCATGTACCATGCTCTCTTTGTCAAGCAGTAGGCAGCTAGGCTCCTAGCAGCAGGAAGGAATGCATTGTTTCATTTAGTATTTGCTAATCTCTTTATTAAACATCTACCGCACCCAGGGCTCACGATTTTAATAGAAAGCCAACATTTCGTCCTTTATGCGATGTTAAGATGGATGGGCGGTAAGGAATGCCGAAAACTCCTTACACATCCCATCTTTTGCGAGGATATGTGCATGACTTACGGTTAATTTAGAATTAAACTTTCTTGAAGTGTACCCTGAAGGAAACACAACTTATCAGCACGATTGAGATTGTGATTTCCAGTGCTGAGGGGGTTCGGAATCTTCGGAATGAAAATCGCTGTCAGAAGATTTGCCCGTACACCCACCACCACTCGCTGTTCCAAGTTGTCACACCTCTCGCTCAGAACCCCGCGTCCATTCATTCCCCTCGCATCCCCCTCGTCGAATCATCTCGCAACGCGTCGCGCATCCCTCCCCCAGTAGTGCGCGATCAGTCTCCGCGGGTGAGTGAGATCCCAGGTGCAGCTCAATGAATCACTCGAAGAACGGCGTGTTGAGAGATTCAAAGCGGTGAATACAGAGGACTCTACAGTTGGGGGGTTCCTGATTCCTCCTGAGTGAACCAACACAATTCGTGCTTGATGGGTGGTGGAAAACAATGAAGCTGGCCATTGCGCAAGATACAACGAGGTGCTGCCGCCCTCTTATCCGTCCGATGATTTTCCATCACCAGCTCTCATGCCGCCCGCCGGGCGGGTTTGAGAGACAGCGTGCGACGAACTGCACCGCGGCAAACGCACCAAGTCCCGATTTGTTTCACGGGTTCCACGGATGACGTGGCGTCGTTTCCGTCACAAGCACTTACGGGCATAGTCCTAGTGCACCATTCCATCCATGTTCACGGCGAGTCGGTTGAGTGCACGTAAAGTTTGATAGGTCAGTTTCAATGCACCTTCCAAAAGGCCTTCACGAGCTACCTACTGTATTCCTTGCCTGAGTCAATTCGAAATGTCAGAGCAACATTTGTCGACGTGTGATCAGTTTCCTCCGACGCCACGCTACTAGCATCTTCAAACTGAGATCCAGCTCAGTCCTTCGACAGTCGCAGTCTACCCGAGTTTTCCCCGAGCAGCTCTGGCCATGGCTGACTCAAACGAGCCGTACGTGGTGGTGGGAAGCCAGTACTGCCTGCCGGAAGAGTCGGTTCTTATACTGAAGGAAAAGATGTGGTCGCTGCGTGAGAAGGCCGAGATCCGCGACGGTCAGGAACAACTGGTGTTCAGGACCGAGGAAAAGTACGTAAATTGCGACTACATAGCGACGTTCCAATTTCGCCTACTCAAGGTCCAAAGTTCGCATAATAAAACACGGAGAAAAATCCGTGACCACCCTAATGAGTGGCTCCGCATCCTCGCCGCGTTTCCCAATGCTTATCACCAATGTGGCAGGGCATGGGATATCAAGGAGCGCAAGACCATTTTCAACGCGCAGGATGAGCCCGTTTGCTCCATGATTAGCAAGGTGTTCTCCCTCAGCCACACCACGTACCTCTGCGCTGGCGCCGACGCGGAACCCGACAACGCGTTGCTCACCGCCAAGAGCGTCGTGCTGACCTGGTCACCAATTCTCAATGTGAGTGTCACTGAGTTGTTTCTTCATAGCTTGTGAAAATTAAAAGAGGCAATTGGAGCCGTTCTTTCAAGTAGATTGTAGGGCCAACCTTGATGCAAACGTTCGCATGGCACACCATCAATGCTATATCTTGATGCTGCTTACACTGAGCGTATGTACAGTGAGTTAACGTTTCTTTCTCTTATGTATTCAAGCTTAGGGTGGTGTAACTTTCTCCTTATCCCATCCGTTTTTGTTTGATTCTTGTTCAGGTTTTTCTGAAAGGGAACACGTCAGATGATGCACCTGACATCATTCTCAAGGGAAATTTCATTCAATACGACTTTACTGTACGTCCTTGCAATGGCTGTCAGCTTGTAGGCCAGCGCGGTCTGTCTTGTTTTCTTAACTGTGTCTGTTACCTGTTTTATTACGTCCACCTACTGCATCACTGCATTGAGAAATCAGATGCCTGTGTTCTCGTTTTCCAGAATGCTCCGAAAGCTGGGGTTTAAGAGAATATGTAGCGTGCTTTGCATATGTTAGTATGACGGGTTTCTCTTCTCCCTTCCCTACACTTGCAGATTACCACTTCTAGCGGTCGTCTCTTGGCAACGGTGGACCGTAAGTTACAGGCCAAGGATATTTTCTTGGCGACTCAAACATACGCGGTGCACATCAAGCCCAATGTGGACAGGGCTCTTATTCTGGGCCTTGTTTCCATTGCTGACAACATCTTCGTCAACAGAGAAGATGACAAGTAGGTCTGCTCCTTTACAGCTGTTGTAGTCCATAATTGATTTGTGGTAACTGCTGATAAAGGTACTGTTACCGTACCATACCGCAATTGCCTGGATACCGTAGTTGATGAAGACTGATCTAAAATCATTTATTGGTAGCTTATCCTTGTAACAGAGAAATTTTAAATGGGAACCTCCTAATACTGTTTTTAGGGGCTTGGCCTGGTTTGATTATTGTAGAAGAATTCAGTGCTTACCTTTGTTGTGAGATTCTGTTTTCTGTAAAACGTTTTGTTTCTTTAGCTGATTATCGCTGTATTGCCTTGGGAGTGACGGCACGTGGCTATTCTATTGGTCGTCCGATTTTCATCAATCACCGATTTCCCCTCACCGAGTTCTGTTCATTTACCTCCGGACCGCATCGCACTCACTGATCAGGAAAAACACTGCCACCTCCGAATTGTTTCCGCACAGTACAGAGGCTGTGCCTCCGATGTTGCCTAGGATCCAGTCCACATTCAGATAAGCGTTTTTAGCACACTAGCATATAAGCGCCAATCCCGCGCCAATGACTGGCCGTTCACGGCATCGCGTGTACCGTACATGCCCGCGCGTTGTCTGCTTTGCTTCCCGCCGCCTGCCTTCCTGGCACTTTCTCCTTTGTCACGAGACACACGCAGCTCACTCGTCTGTTTCGTCAGTGATGTCCGATCATACTCTCGCGCGTGAAACCAGCAAGCCTTTCATTCATAACTCTCGAAAGCTTCCGCGTCGCGAGTAGTTAGGCTGCACATTATGATGTCTACGTGGAGTTCCTGATCTCAGTACAATAGCTTCCTGGCAGTTCTTTTCACTATTCGCTGATATCGGTTGTTTTGTCTGTACTTTGTCTGATTCTTATATCCGAGCCCCCGTAAGAACGTCGTCACAGCGATTATTATCCGGAACTGGTGTAATGTTATATCCGAGCCTCAGCCTTTCCTGTAATCTACTTCTTCCGCGCCTCGACCGAGCCTTAGCCGAGGTTACCGACAGGCCGCGTTCTTATATCAGCGGCAACATGTCCGCATCGATTCCCCCCAATTACGTCGCCACGCCCCTCGCCAGTACCACGCCGGTCGTCGCCACTGGCGCGCCTGTCGCTACGGTCGCAACTGGCACGCCTGTCGCCAATCCTGTCGCCAATCCCGTCGCCAATGTCCCCATCCCGTCGCCCACGCCAACCGTCGGGCCGACGGAGCCGTACGTGGTGGTGGGGCTTCAGTACTGCCTCCCGTACGAGACGGTGCTTATATTGAAGGAGAAAATGTGGTCGCTACACGACAAAGCGGACGTATATGACACGCAAGGCCAGCTCTTTTTCAAGACCAAGGACAAGTAACTCTCTTGAGTCGACTCAGAAGTCAACCACTCTAAAGTTCGTTGTTGTTTTCATTTCTTGGTGGAGGGTGAGGGTAAGGAGGAGGGGAAATGGAAGGAGGGGGTGGGAAGGGGAAAAGGAGGGGGGGGAGGAAAGGGGAGGACGGTGTGAGAAAGAAAGAGTTTTTTCACGTGCAATTTTGTGGTCAAAGCTGGGCAGTTGCTGGTAACCTCAATCACCGTTGAGCATTCTCAACAGCATCTGTGACCGAGGTTGACTCACAGAGAAGAAACCTTCCAAAAACAGTCACGTCACACGGGATGTAACAGCCCTCCCTTTTTCTCTGTGTGTGTGCGTTCGCGTGTGTGTTCTCTTTCTCTGTTTTCCACTCTCTATGCCTTTTCTTCTTTTGTTTCTTTTCTCGCACCGCCTTCACGCAAGGCGTTCTACTGCCTGCCGGCCTTCTCGCCTGCCGGTGGCGGGACGGCCCAGGGCGAGGCGGTCTACTCACAGACGAGCAAGGCCTTCTCCCTGCTTTCCCCCCTCCTCTCCCCCCCCACATTCGCGCAGGGCGTTCTCGTGGCGCAACCGCAAGACAATCTTCAACGCCCAGGACGAGCCGGTGTGCTCGCTGACCAGCAAGGCCTTGTCGCTGCACGACGAGACCTACCTGTGCCCGGGCGCCAGCGTGGATAAACGTGACGCCCTGCTCACTGCCCGAAGCAAGTTCTTCTCCTGGACTCCCATCCTCAATGTGAGTGCGTGAGCGAATGGGTGAGTGAGGGAGGAAAGGAGGCAGTGAGGGAGTGAGGGAGTGAATGAGTGAGTGAGGGAGAGTGAGCGAGCGCAAGGCCATCTTTCAAGCTCCAGGACGAGGTGGGACGCTCTCCTCACTGCCCGGAGCAAGTTCTTGTCCTGGAAACCCGTCCTCAATGTGAGTGCGGGAGTGAGCATCGAGCATCAGTCCATGAGAGGATCTTGAGGCGCTTAACACACGCTGCTCAGTTTCCAACCATGAGCAAGTTTTTAACCTGAACACCCATTCCTATTGCGAGTGCATGAGGGAGGGAGAGAGTGACTGGGTGAGGAATGAAGGAGCAGCGAGCGAGCCAGGACAAAATCCCTTTACTGCACTCCTCTTTAATGTGAGTGAAGGGGGGAAGGAGGGACAGAGAGAGTGTGGAGTGAGAGTGAGCTGTGTGGTGGGGTAGGGAGTGAGCATTGAGCAGGGTTTTCAAAGCGCTGCTCACTTCCAGGAGCAAGCTCTTTTCCTGGTTCTTCATTCTTTATGTGATTGCGCGAGTGAGTGAGAGAGCGACGGAGCGAGGGAGTGAGTTAATTTGTGAGTGAGTGAGTGCGCGAGGAGTGAGCTATCACTGAGAGAGAGAGAGAGTGAGTGAGGGAGTGAGCAGGGTGTCAGTCCGTGAAAGGTGATTTGAGGCATCTCAAAAGAGCTGGTGACTGCCAGAGCGTGTTCCTTTCCCTGGAAACCTGTTCCCAGGGCAAGCGAACGAGTCGGTGAACAAGCGAGCGAAAGAGTGAGAGAATGAGTGAGCGAGGGAGGGAACGAAACGCCAGATTCTGGCACTACTCCAGGTTTTGAGTGGCCAAAATGTGTCACTTCTCCAGGGTTTGAGTGGCCAAAATGTGTCACTTCTCCAGAACCAGGTGCTAAGCTGCAGGTTTTGATCTGAACGCGTATCCTTTTCCGTTCTTCTTGCCATGCTGTTCCACGTCTCCGCAGATCTTTCTGAAAGGGAATTCAGTTGACAACAAGCCAGACATCGTTCTCAAAGGCGATTTTTTTCAGCACGAGTTCACTGTATGTATTCAGGCAGCCAGTTTCCCGTGTGTGCGTGAGAATCTTTAAGCCAAGATAGACACTCAAACATGCGAGCTGAGATCTTTGATCCCCTGTCCCCCGCCCTGGACATTCTTTCTTCGATTCTCCCACCTGTATCACAGTACATGTGATGTGCTGTGCACACGTATCACAGTGATTGTCCCTAACTTTTCTTTGGCACAGGGAAGCAACCCTACTGTGCTGGGTACTCCCATCTCAGTCAGAATAGCTGGGCCTGCCCCTATGCTTGCTCCATTGATCGGGTCAACATCGGCAGCAGGCTTGAGTTGATGCAGGTGGATAGGAAAGGGACGTGCAGACAAGTGGAAAACTGTATGGGCAGGCCACAGGCTCTCACTGTGCCAGGCATACCCAGCTGAATATCTCCAACCGACCTTCTCCTACCTTTTCCCCCATGCTTGTTCTTTGCTCAGATCATGAGAAGCAGCGGGCTCATGTTGGTGCAGGTAGAGAGGGACATCTGGTCGGCCAGGGAGTTGATGCATGAAGCCCAACATGCCTGATGCATCTCTGCTTCTCCGCTTCTCCATGTGCTTGCTCTATTGCTGAGATCGCGACAAGTAGCGGGCTTATGCTGGCGCAGTGGAGAGCGTCTAGAGCGTCCGGCACACGTGCTTCAAACCCAGTGGATCCTTCTCCTGCGTTGTCCCCGTGCCTGCGCTGTTGCTCAGATCATGGCAAGCAGCGGGCTGGAGTTGGTGGAGATGGAGAGGGACCTCTGGTCTGGTCTGCCAGAGATTGGTTCTTCAAGCTCAATATGCCTGTCGCCTCTCTTTCCCTCTCCGTCTTCCTGTGCTTACTCTCTGTTCTCAGATCACCACGAGCAGTGGACTTCTTTTGGCGCAGGTGGAGAAGAAGGACATCTGGTCTGCCAGGGAGTGGGCAACGTGTGAACCCCAACACACCTGATGCCTCTTCCCCCCCGTTCCTGTCCTTTCCATGCTGCTGATACCTTTTTGTTGTTTCTCAGATCACCACAAGCAGCGAGCTTCTGTTGGCACAGGTGGAGCGGGACATTTGGTCTGTCAGGGATTTGGTGCAGAAGCTCATCATGCCTTGATGCCTTTCCGTCCCTGTTCCTGTGGCTGTCCCCGTGCTTGCTCTATTGCTCACATTGCTGAGATCACCACAAGCAGCGGGCTTCTGCTGGCGCAGGTGGAGAGGGACATCTGGTCTGTGAGGGATTTTCTGAGCACGCACACTTATGCTGTGCGCATCAAGCCAAACGTTGATATGCTCTTCCTCCCCTGTACCTGTGCTTTCTTTGTTGCTCAGATCACCTCGAGCAGCGGGCTTCTGTTGGCACAGGTGGAGAGGGATATCTGGTCCGTGAGGGATTTTCTGAGCACGCACACGTATGCTGTGCGCATCAAGCCAAACGTTGATATGGCTCTGATTTTAGCGCTCGTTGCCATGGCGGACACCATCTTTGTTAATAAGGAGAACGATGATAATGACTAGCCGCTGAGACTGCTTCTGGGTATGGTATGGTAATGCCTGAATTAACAGCTCTATTACTACGATGCCTCTCAAATGTGATGAGTAAGGTGATACGGTACTGTGAATGCATGTATATTATGTATTTATTCAAGTACCTGATGTGCTGTAGAATGCACCTCAATCAAGCCAAATCTTGCCGATGAATGAAAGGCTGCCTAGTTGGAGTACGACTTGGTCGGTTTGCTTATTTGAAACGCATCTTGATGAACTGACATACGACAACCAGGAGAAGTTGCTTCAATCCTTGCCTTGCAGGGACGTCAGATGGGGTATGGCACTTTTCAGACCTGATTTCTTTTGTTCCTCCGAACCTGTAGTAAAAATATAAATCTGCACTCCTATTTTGTAACAGTTGGTCCTCTCGGTCAAACCCCTCCAACCAAACTGGCGTGTGCGTTTGGTTTGGTCAGCAACGTCAACAGACAACAGGTGGTTTGGGGTACTAAGGAATTAATGACGTGGCGCCTGCTTTGCCAGCGCCTAACAGATACACCTAATTTTCGCGCCATTTTGTTACGTGTCTGTTACTTTCGCCAGCGCGGAGTAGAAATGGCCATCTTCAGCCTTTCATTCCCCAGATTTTCGTTCTGATTCTAAGCAGCGCAAGCCCCAGATACTGCCAGACACCTTCCTTCCACCACCGTTTGTGCGTAGTACGATCGTATAGCGTCGATAGCAATATCATTTACCTATTTTTCCTATCTGAAACAAGCGTTGGAAACCCTCATTGCCTTGCATATCCGTTCTTCCATCCTTCCGGCCTTGACCATTCCCGCTTTCATCAATGGACGAGTCGCGCAACCGCTGCGTATCACCGCAGCCGCCGGCGCCTCCCGTCTCGATCCGTCGCAATCCGTTAGATCGAACGGCAGCCACTGAGTCGAATCATACGGCTGCTTGCATCGCGTGTTCGCCGTGCGACATTGATCGGCTGCCAGATGTCATCTTGCTGAGCATCATCCGCGTCATCAGTAGCAGCAGCAGCGGCAGCAGCAGCGCCCCTTCTTTGACCACCAGCAGCCACAACAGCGAAGCCGTTGATGGACCGGCGACGACAGGCATCGATGCAAATGGCAGTACTACTAGCAGCCGCGGCTCTCCATCAACAGAGCCGTGCCCTAACGCCATGACCATCACCACCCGCGATCGCTGGGGCTATAAGCAACAGCAGCAGCTGCCATGTAAAGACCCCACATGCTCCTGCCGCAAGGCAAATAGCACCGACGTCTCCCCCACCCCGCCGCTGCTCACGTGCGCGCTAGTCTGCCGCCGCTGGCTGCGCCTCTCTGAGAGTCTCCCGCGCGCCATCACTGTTTCCCCGGGCCTGCTATTACACCCCCGCTCCCTCCTGCGTACGCTCTCCGCCTTCCCCCACCTGCGCTCCCTCACGCTACACGGGGACTCTTGCCGAAGCATCAGCAGCAGCAGCAGAGGGACCGTCAGTGATTGGCTCATCGCTCGCCTGGCAGCGCTGCTGCAGCTGACGTCACTGTCGCTCGTTGGCGTTGCGGCAATCCCGAGGCTCTCCCCCTTGGCGCCCTCCCTACTGTGCTTGGAAATCCGTGGCGCAGGGGAGGGGGTGACGTGTCTCCCTGGAAAATCTCTTGGGCAGCTGACGTGTCTGCAGGAGCTGGTTTTGAGGGACTGCTTGGCGCTGCGGCAGCTTCCAGAGTCGCTTGCCCTGCTGCCGTCCCTGCAGCGCATTCGTGTAGAAAGATGCTATTCGGTGACGCTCGATGCTTGGAGAACGCCCAGGGACGGCTGTGGGCTGGCAGCTGTGCGTTTTCAGGGGGAGGATGGGGAACGTGGCGTGGGGGAAGGGCGAAGGAAGGGCATTGAATCTGACGATGCTCATAACGTGGTTGTTTCCATGGTGTCGGGGGGTGAGAGTGAAGGGGGGATGTGGGGGCAAGCTATGGGCAGCAACTGCCGCCTCAGTGGAGAAGGCGACAGCGGCGCCGACGTAAGAAGCTCCACCGCTGCCAAGAGAAGCAGCAGCAGCAGCAGCAGCCGTCACAGGTTGACAGTCAGAGTAAGCAGGGTGGTGGTGTCCCCACTGTCACGGCAGCAGTACAGCCGCGGCACCCCCTCTTCTCTTCCAAACTGCAACACCTCGAGCTTGCTGACGTGTCAGCCCTTCAGCACCTGCCACGTGGCATCCTCCAGCACCACTCGCT